TAACTGAGACATATTAGGTATACATATTTTGGGGGTACATGTGATAATCTGATACATTCATATAATCAAATCAGGGTAATTGAGATATCCATCACCTTAAATATCTGTTCCCATTATTTCTTGTCCTATGATTTCTTAGGGGTTTCACTCCCTGATGTAGTTTAGTAGCAAAGGTACTTGATTCTCGGTAGTGGTCTAGAGGGTATATGGGAGGGTTCCCTCCACCTCCAAATAAACAGTGATTATGCATTAGAGAAGCAACTACTAATATTCTGTCTAGAGCTGACTTTGATCTCTGTGGTGAGGGCATGCTCTGGTCATCTTCTGTTCACCACATTAGTAAGGGAGGGACTCCTTACCCTACATAGTAAGAGACTGTAGAAAACATGCACGTGCCCCTGGACAGATGAGACTGACAGCAGTTTATCAGTCCCCCCAACACACAGCCTGGGAGAGAAGGATACAGCATGTCATTTAGGGTTCCACTTGAGAACAGACTGAATGAACAAGCAGGGTCTGTGGAGGACAGGCTTTGTTGTAACAAAGGGTTGAGGTGACACCCTGTCCTCATAGGAGGACGTGATTGGTTTGTTTGAATAATATTGAGGGCTGGCAGGGAAGTGAAACCTGCTAGGTTGAGGCCTGGGTAGAGTGCAGCTGGTCTGGCTAGTAGGGGAACTGGCCAGGCAGTTAACCCTTTCCTCTGGGTGGGGAGTATATCTAATAAGAGCAGGGAAACATAATACGCTTAGGACTTTGGAGCTCTGTGAGGCTCAAAGACAGCAGGGGGGCAAATGAAATGTTGAGCCTTACAATACAGGCTTTAGATCAGAGAGAAATAAAACCTTGTATATTTCTCTTTTCTATTAGCAAATTTGTGCTATTATAGCATGTGTGGGTCACCATATATGTTTCTCAATCCAGTTTCAAAAGTCTTAAATTTAGTGTAAATTACTCTAAGAATCCCATACTAGGTTGAATGTCAGTCCCAGGATTTGGGTAGAAATGTTATCTTAGGTATTTTAGAAAAAAAATTGGGATAAGCTCTTTTAAAGACTGCCAACTAGGTGTTTTTAAACTGTTGTGAAGATGTTAAGGAAAGTCACAAAAGTGGTAGTTTCATTAACACCAACAGTGGATTTGTTGTAAGAGCAGGAGGGTGAGGGTTCTACTGAGTAATAGGTCACTTTACCACTCTGTGCCTTCAATCTCTAATCTATAAAATAAAAAAATAATCTAGATGATTCTATAGTCCTTTTGTCTCTAAAATGACTGTGATAATTTAAGATAAATAGAAATATTTTATTTAGTATCTATAAGGTCTAATACTCCAGAGTAATTACTATGAAATTACATGTCCCCTACTAATCTATGAACTCTTTTCCTTAAATGACCTGGAATGCTCATTTTCTGGTACATGAAAATTTCTAAAGAATGATTTTCAAATGAACAAATATATCTAGCTGAGCAAGAGATACATGGGGGAATTCTGAAAAACACCAAATATTTTACAAGTGCTCTATTATTTCAACAGTCTAGCACTATTACTAACTAGCTGGTTACACTAGTAAAGTACATAACTAAGGATCACTGTGGGCATTAACGAAAGGCACATCATGAATGATCCACTAGACTTGTTAGGTGGCATGTTTTTTCTCATGTTCCTATTCACCTAAGCAGAGATCTGGAGAAGTTTAGTTAGTCCCATTCTAGACCTGAAGTCTTCACTTTGTCTCCTTTTGCAAGGATGCCCCTGACTTCAATCAGCTACTAGAAATGTCAGGTGAAAAATGGCACAAATGTGAATTATGACAATAAAAGTTTATAAGCTACTAAAATAAAGTTATAGTACCTAAGAGCTGAGTCAACTGACAATGTTAAATGGAACATTTTACAACCAGTCCTGGGATAATGATAAAAAAAAAATGGTACATGGAACATGAAGAAATATCTGACAGGAAACAAGCACATGATCAAGCTCAGGGTACATGATTTTGTGTGAGCTGTCTCTATAGGGAGCAGGAGGAGGTGAGAATCTAAGGTTTGTGGAGTTCCTCCTCTGTGTCCAACCCGTGACAGCTGTTATTGCCTTCACATCTCATAACAACTCAGTGGGGGAGGGAAGTACTGTTGTCATCATTTCAGAGAGGAGAAACTGAGGCTCACATGGCCCAGTTATCTGCCCATAAACAAAACTCTTAAGTAAGAGACAAGATTTGGCTTCAAAAGTCTATCTGATTCCAAAGCCCATGCTTTTTCTGTATCTTTTTATATCAAATGCTATCTCTTTGCATAGATAATCTCTATATAAATAAAGCAATTTTAGGTTTTAAGAAGAATCTTTCTGTCCGACTTGATGCTCGTGTTTGTTTCGTGCTACCAACACAGGTGATGGTTCTCTTTACCATAGAGTTCACCATGTAAATTAGCTATGCAGAGGATGTTAAATTATATCTAAATAAGGCAAAAATATGATACTGGAATGAAGATCAGCATTAGAAATAAAACCAAACACTAAATATAGTATCTAAAAAAGAAGGATTACGGGAGCATTATGAAGAGTTTAAATAGGTGACATGACAATCTTTAGTTTTGTTTTTTAAATAATCCCACTCACAAAATGTTTTTTGTATACCAGCAAATTTCCACTACCTTTCTCTAACTTTTCTACTACAACATCCCCTGTCCTGTCACCCCACATCCCCTGACGAGTCACAGGGCTTCTCATTGGTGCCCATCATGGTATCCCCAATGACAAACGCAAGTTTGCTGGCCGTACCCAGGGGGAGCTGGTGCCGTCTCCCAAAATGCTGGCATTTGCTATAATGGCACAATTTTTTAGAAATGTTATGTTTTACCTTTAAAGATCTTACAAAATTTATATTCTTATCCCTCATCTGACTCTGTTATAATATAAAGATTGTCTTCTCAATTACTTATTATGGACCAAAATTCATGCTCCAAGAATTATTAACATCATGTTAATTCTGAGGCTCCACATACTCTTGCAAACTCTTCTTCCTCTAGCCAGAGAAACACGATGATAAAATGGTATAGTCGCATGACATGCAAAGTGCTGATGTGAAATGAAAAGGACAAAAATACGATTGGGATACTAATTCAAGAGAAAAAGGAAATAGGAAATAGGACCGTTTGAATGGGCTTAGCAGGATGGTTTTGTTCTTTCTGAAAGTAAGTGGGATGTTATCTCACTTTATCTTGGATTCTACCTCAACTCCCCCCATTCAAGTACAATCAAATGTGTAGTTCAAACACACACACACACACACACACGCACACTAAGAGAGCTACAAAATATCCAACAGACAGACATATAGAGAAACATTCAGTGAATATCATCTACTCATCTAAACACCAGATGAAGGCATCATGTCAATATAGCAATAAAACTATAAATTTCCATTAGAGTGGAATATAAATATAATGTGGAAATGAAACTTACAAAATAGCTGTAAACTCGGTACTAACTTCCAAGTATGGGTCTAAGACTATAATGGACATAGACAATTTTCATAGCTGATCTGTAATAATGGTCATTGGGAAGTTAAATGACAGAAGAGAAACAGCTTTAAATGCAAATGACACAATTAATCACAACTGTCATAGTATGTGCTTGCTATCAACCTTGAACAGAGCGTTTAATTCAAATCCCATTCAAAAGTGTGCACTGTCAAGGGAGAGGCCAAGAACCACTTTGTAGTTTAGGAAGCAACCCACAACCCGTGTGCCAAAGATGGCACTGAAGATCAACTCTATTGGCATATCGACTGACTGCTGTGGTTCCCCCAGCCCTCTTCACCACCCACTGGAGGGGTTGTTCCTACCAAAAGGCAAGGAAATGCCAAAACCTTGGCATTTGAATGTTCAAAGATGATCAGTTCCTCTTCTCATAATGCATAATGTTTTTAAAAAATATTCTACCCATTCAGAGCTCTCTCTGTAAAGATAGATTTTCCCTTTTAAACATTCTGTGATATTAGATATCTGTAATATATTTTGGCAATAGTAGATCTCATTGCTGTTTTTAAAATATTGCCTAAAAATAAGTGTTGCATATATAAATATATAATATAATTCATTATATTTTATATAATATATTAAATAGTACCTCAAAACCCACTGAAGAAAAATTGAGTGTTTGTGTAGATATGTATAGGTGTAGATATGGAAAGAGAGAAAGGGGAGTAGATATGGAAAGAGAGAAAGGGGAGTAGATATGGAAAGAGAGAAAGGGGAGAGAGAGACAAGAGAAAGGAAATTATAGAAAAGATTCAAAGCAAAGTCAAAATTTAGGAGCAAATTAAAGCAATTACCTTGAATGCTGAATAGTTTCATGTATACTCAGCATGACATCATAAGGAAGTGGGGATACTTAATTTGGTGGTATTAAAATGAAGGAATTATTTGTCAGGTCAAAAGAAAATCTGATGTCAACATTTGCAATTAATTTGACCAATAGAGTCTGTGATATTATCATAAGATAACCCTGGATTTATCACAGTTGTCAAAATAATGTAATATCTGTTACCTCCATATATTATCTCACTAGCCTTACAATTAGCACATGCAACAGACTATCTGGTCATGAAAAATCTTCTCATTCATTCAATATATATTTGCCAAATAATCCCTGTGTTCCAGGCACTGTTCTAGATACTAGAAGTATAATGATAAATAAGACAGATGTGGTTGCTGCAATTACTAGCATAATCATGATTGCAACCCAGTTCTTCTGACACCACCTATATTGCATGATGCAAATTAAGGGAGTTTTGTTGACCTTGAACATATTTGGGGTGCTTTGCTTATCATTTTACTTTTCACAGAATTAAATGATTTGACAATGAGGTTTCAGATGAGCTTTTTCGCTTTGTAGATATTATTGAAGCAAATAAAGCTCTGTGAATTGTGGAATGATAAAATATTCACAGAAACTTACAACTCTGCAGTTGAATAACAATTACATTTGTTCCAAACAGGCAATTGGTTTCCAAACACATTAAACAAAGGCAATTTAGAAAGCTTCTTCTTCTTCCTGGCATCATTAACATTGTTGAACATCTTGGGATTCTGGAGTGTTTCACAAAGGTAAGTGTATGGTAAGATGAACAATTTCTGAGTCCCTGAAATATTGGTCTGGGAACCATCACTGAGCCACTGGGAATTCCAATGCCATGACTGGACAAATTAGCATATTACAGAAATTTAACAGATTATTCAGAGCAAGAAATTTCAATTTAGACTTCACATTTCCCATTGATCCTCATAATAAAATAGTACTTTACTAAATTCTAAAACATGTTCTAAAACAGGATTTTTTTCTCCACCATATAATACCACTTTAGAGTTAGAAATAACCATATTAATAATAAGAATGAATGAGTCATTACCATTAAAAACAAATATCATTAAACAAATTGCTAGGAATGTAATGACGCTTGATATTCGAATCCCATTCAGGTCTTTTAAATCAGCAGTGACCACTTCAAGGTCAATAACAAACTGTGCAAAATCCCTTAGCTTGTCACCTGAGACCATAAGTGGCTTAATATGTATCATCCACCATCCATCCATTGCCAGCCTCTGTTTCTGTCTCTGTCTCTGTCTCTGTCTCTCTCTCTCTCTCTCTTTCTCTCCCTCTTCCACCTTGACATATTCTTGGTGGGCTGTGTACTTTTGAGCAAATTGTCTAGCCTTTCTGGGCCTCTGTTTTTACACATGTAAAATAAAGACAGTAATACCAACCTCGTACGGGATGAACGTTGATAAAGCGCTAAGCACAATGTCTGTCACGTAGCAGGAACTAAACAGATTTTCATTTTCCTCACTTCCTTGCATCCATTTATATCTTTAGTCATTTAGTCATATATTGTCACTTCTCCCTTGCCTAATCACTATTTATTTTGTTCATCTAACAAATGTCTTTTTGAACATCACCCATGTACTAGGTAGTAGCGTAAGCTAGAAGGATGCACAGTCATTAATTCAGTAAATGTTTAGTGCCACGAATGCTCCTGCTCTCATGGGGCTTATGGTCCAGCAGAGGAGGGAGGATTAAACCCCATGCCAGGCAGAATCGATGGCAATATGAAAAGCCTTAATGGCTCCCTGAATTTTTACATTTCCTATCCTCCAAACTATCGAATTGATCCTCCACAATGTATAATTTTCCTAAATGCCAGTCTCATTCTTAGATTGAAAATCAAATTAGAGGATCAGAGAGTCTTGCAGAAAGATCCAACAGGAATTTCCTCAGATTTGCAGGAAAATGGATTTGGCAATGAAAACTGATGCTGAAGGCAAGGCCTCTCCCCACTCCATCCATTGCCTCCAGACACATAAGTGGGGCCCACCTGCCAATTCTCACAGACCTGTACTGTCTCTCAGTTTTTACTTTGTATCCTCCTGTAAGGTTTGACCCTTGTCTTTCACGAAGTTGTTTAAAAGGCAGTCTTTAGAGTCAGCCCAGCTGAATCCAGTTCCACAATTTACTAGCTGTGCAAACTTCAGCTCGCTGTTTAACCTTGCTAAGTCTAATTCTTCATTTGTAAAATGGAAGCAGTAAGAATAGTAACTGCGTCATAAGGTTGTTGTGAGGATGAATAATTGCTCCAAAACGTTAGCAATAATAATAATAATGGTCTCATAGTTAGCCTTATGCTCCCTTCTCCTCCTAGACTTATGCTGAGGTGTGACCAAGATGACCATGACCATGGACAGAGCTCAGGTAGAACTAGACTGGAACAAGAATCTATTAGCTCAGGATTGATTCATTCATTCATTTATTTGCTCATTGGACCAACCTGCTAAGCATTGTTCCAGGATATACAGAAATAGAGTTGGACCAAGCAAAGTATCAGTCTACATGGAGTTAACATCTAGAGCCCAAATTAAAATATTCCAGTGTGTTTCTTTCTCTGTGATAGTGGAACAAGTACTCACTTAAAGAACAAGTACTCCTGTAAAGAAGTGAAAGACGTGGTGTGGGATACAGAGAAGGAGGTAAGAATAAAAATATACAAGGCACTGGAGATTGGAGGAACCACAGATGAGAAGGGACGAAGTGAAAATATAGGGCTTATTCAGAAGTAAATATAATTCTTACCACATCTTCTCCATCTCCTGTCTACTTTCTTTTCTCCTACATAATTTCTTTAGGGAAGGAAAGAAGAGAGGAAGAACCAAAGCAGGAAGGAAAGAAATTAATTTTCCCTGTGTTGAGCACCCTCTCTGCCTTGGGCAGCATCCTCTGCACACACAAATAACCACATTTCATCTCCACCACCTCCCTGTTACACAGGTCTTGTCACTCTACTTTGTAAATAAGAGAACTAAAATGCAAAGCTAGTTAAGTAAATTAACCAAGTTCACACGACTAGGATTCAAACCCAGATTTGTTTATCTCCGAAGCCCATGCTCCCACATGTCTATACTGTGCTGCTTCTAAATGCCCGAGAAGAGCCCATTTCTTGCTCTCTGACAATCCCTAACTTTGGTGGGTTGGGAGACAACCAGTCCCTTCAGTTAAAGTAACTACACCCACTACCACCTGTTGATCAGGAGCCCCGCAGGAAAAGAATGGGCGTCACATGTCAGAAGAAAGGAGAGTCTGGAAAATTTGCCTCCAGAGATTGAGTAGCACCAGTGACATCAGTGCAAAGGCACATGTTGCCTTGGGGGCCTATTGGCCACTGGGACTGGACAGGCCAAGTCAGAAGAGTTCAGGAAGAAACAATATGGAACCTGGGGGAGAAAGATCTGCATCTGTAGTGAGGAGTGCGTGATTCCAATTTATTTCTATAATATATTGACTGTTATTGCCAAGCAATAATGAACAGTAAGCATGCAAAGAAATAGGAGAAAGCAACAGTGTCCCCAGGACAAATTATTGAAACATACTATTTAGAAGTCAAATAGTATTTAATCTCAGTACATATCCAATCACAATCCAATCTTCATCAAACTCAAAGTTTTATCTGTTCAGAGCCAGGTAATGGTGGCAAATCTATCAAGAACAGGGGAGTCCCAACATATTCTTGTCTCCAAGGACAGTGGATTCATTGTGAAACAACATTTTCATCAATATACAGATAGTCTTAGGTCTGTGTTAACACCCAAGGCGTCCCTCCCCCCACCAACCTTATATTAGGGTGATAATACAATCCCAGCGTAAGTTCTAGAACCAAACTAACTTTGTCAGGGTCACTGTAACACATCACCTCACATCCCCAGCTGAGTACAGTTAGGAATTTATCCATAAACGTCAAACCAGATTTACTTCTCACATGTACCAAAAAACAAAAACAACAAACAAAAAACCCCAGCCCTGCCACCGTCTGTATTGGAGCCTCCACAATCACATCTGAAATAGCGCAATGGTGACGTGTCATACCCGAGGCTGTTCAGTTTAGGGGTGAAGGACGTAGACAGATGAAATGTCTTTTCTTTGCTGAAAAGGATTAGGCAAATATGTCTACAGTGCTTAATATAAATATGTATTCCACACTGGATGCTAAAATAAAAAGTAGTTATAGGTGTTGCAGGAGGGAGAGGGCAGGAGAATGTTTGTTTTTATAACTTAGCACTATTGTCCCTCCCATGTTATAAAACATATCTTAGAAAGTTGATAACATTGCACGTATTTTGTCAAAGATACTAGTAATCTTTCGTGCATAAGCTGTAATAATTATTGAAAGTGACATAAATCAGAGAAAAATGACCGGAGTTATTCAGGTAGTATTCATTCTCTTACCAGCAGTTATTTTTAGCAATATATTGAGAAGGAAAAGAAGGTAAAATTAGCTTTTGAAACCTTCACAAATCAAAAATAGATGGCTGGCCCCAGAGACTTATGTGTATATGAGAAAATTGAATGTATAGCCCATATTCATTTGCTCATTCAAAAAAATATTTATTGAACATCTTCTATGTATCAGGCACTGGTCTAGGCACTGCAAATAGAGCAGTGAATAAAGCAGTCTGAAATGTTATCCTCCTGGAGCTTACTACAAAGTGTTCAAGAAAATCAGTGTCTTTCGAGTCAGTGTGCCATAGATGAAAAAGGCCGAGATTCAGAATAATTGAGTACCGGTTCCAAATCCAGGCTCTGCCAACCACTGTTTTCATGAACCGTAAGCACGTTATTTAACCTCTTGGAAACTTCAGTTTCCCAATCCGTGAAATGGGATGATTCCATCCCACCCTAGCATGGTGCCTGGTACTTAGAAGACAGAAAAGTAGGCTTTTCTGAGGGTTGAGGGAAGAGAATGCACATTCTAGAAATATATTCTTGGATTCATTCTTCAACAGTGGTGTTTTACACACTGTCTCAGCATTGAATTTACAAATCCCCAGTGTATCTGATAAACCTTTCATGAGTCCTGGCTGCCATGAAATCTGTGACGCAGTCTCCATTCAGCTTGTAAAAGAGCGCCACCTAAAGGTTGTGGTGAGACACCTTGCTATATACTCTATAAAAGGAACACTCCTTTGTCCTGTTATAAAGACTGTTCCAGTGAGCAGCGCTCTTAAATAATCATCAATGTTGCGCCAGTATCTATGAGCCCATCATAAAAGGTAGACAAGCCCAGGGGAAACCAAATGATTTATCAAGTCATCTGCATCTGGTCCTAAGAAAAGCTTTCTTTCTCTCTTTTTTAGATATTGTAATCTAAATCATTTTAATGCCCAGAACATCAGTGGAAGTAATCTTGAAGAAACACTTCTCCTCCACGAAAAGTCTCTGAAATTTTATGGCAGTATACAGGAATTTTTTTCAAGTATTGATCTTTGGGAGACAGCCCTATGAAACCGTATTTGAGTCTACCTGTCTTTTGAGCACAGTATTCTTCATTTTCTTCTTCGGTTGGACACTCTCTGTGTTTTAGTGTAAGAGCCAATGTATATGGACATGACTTTATGAATATTATCTGTGTACTTTATTTACAAAGACTAATGATGACCTTTCTAGTATTCTGTTATGTTTTTGCATTAACACCTTAAGCATTAGAATTAATAAAGCAATTTCAAAGTCTAGGTGATTATGACAAGAAAAATGATGATTTTCTATACACCAATGGTATTTTAAAACTTTTACAATGGTTCATACATTAAAAACAACATATATGATTTTTTTCAGAGTTTTATGAGTCATTCGAAGCAAAATAAAAATATGTTAATATTCTTTCTTTCTATACACTTTCTGAGCCCTCATTACATGCTGGACATCGTGACCATATACTGTACACATCTGAGTAAATAATAAACATATATATGATTTTGTTATATTTAATCTTGACATTACACCATCAAGATATGACTTAATTAAGGAAATTTTCTCTGATTTAAGAAGTAATGTTACTAAGACAGATGTCCTTAACAGAGAGCATATCCACATACTGAAAAACGTGAAAAGTAAATGTAAATGATGGAATTGTTGGGATTAAAGGAAAGAATAAAATTAAGGCAGATAAACTGAGTGCTGAGAGGAAGGTAAGTGACCAAACCAAATAGAGATGTTTAAAGGGATTATGCAAATGACATCTTTTGGTCTCTACCACCAATTCGGACGCACTGAAAAAATCATCTTCTGAAAGAGTTTCTTCTTTTATAAACAAAGAAATATGGAAATTTAAGTTTTTAAAAAAATCAAGTAAAATTAGTGCCTGTACTTTTGTAGCAGCATTTGTCAAAATTTGGTTCAGGACCACCTGCCTCAGGTGAATCTTTCCGGCCCCTACATAGACTGCCTAATCCAAATCATTTTCCAGATTGGGGCCCAGGAATTGGTGGTTTTAACAAGCACACCCAAATCATTCTTATGTTCCCTAAAGTTTGAGAGCCACTGCTTTCTAGGATAAATCATGCTGGATAGCATAGGTGGGTTTATCAGCTGACTGCAAATGATTCTGTAATTAAGCACCTCCCTTGTGTATACATAAAATATTTTAGATCTGTAGAATAAAAGATTTATTCAACTTGATTAGGTACGATATGCATTTTTAATTGCAAAAGAGCAGCTGTAAAGCACCAGGTGTTTCTCTTACTCAAACTATTTTTTGTTTAAGGACAAATGAAAAGACTAGCTCTTACCAGCATAAATTCTTCGCCTACAGCTTTTTCAAATCCGCCTTTGTTTAGCATTTGTTCCCAGGCAAAACAGCGAAGCAGACCCCTGATGCATGAGAAGCCTTCCTCGATGCAAAGGTCAAATGCCAAGTTTGCAATTTGGGTTTAATAACACCCAAAAGATCAAGAAAACTTTAAACACCTCACCTCAGACCAAGTGGGAAACAGTCTGTCTCCCTGTTAGAAACAGGGTCTGTTTCATTGCCTTCTCCTCCACCCCCGATTTGCCTTCATCTGCCTAATTTCTACATCATAATAGGAAAAGGTGCTCATTATGCTTTCACTTGTCCTTAGAGAAGAAAGATCTACAGAATTATAAAGTTGACCCAAAGCAAACACCAAAGAAGCTTAGAATTCTCACATTGCTGTTGACACTCGTGATTAGCTAAATTGCAGTAACTACATAGGTTTCCATTCCGAACAGGAGGCATTCTCACAGCAGTTTCTTCTCTAGTGCCTAGCAACATTATCATTGAGCACCTGGAATAGTTTAGGCATTAAGTGTAATTGGTTTTGCTTTACATAAATCTGTAGCTTTGTAAATAAGCGGAGCATTTCAGCTTCTATATAACACCAATTAACTTAAAGGGATGCGTTGTTTGCAGAAGCCTGCTGGCTTCCGTACTGTATTTCTCTGGTAATACGCTGCTCAGTGGCAGGCAAAGTTCTGGGTCCCTGCGGTGTTCCATTTACTCCAGCCACTTGGTGCCAAGGGTCTATACCCAGCCACTCATTTGCTCCATTTTTCACTGGTGGTGAAAGGTTGGAAAAGTGAAGTCTTCCCTGAGAAGCACCTTCTGTGTTCTGTTTCTGTCCATGATCAAGGCCTGAAAGGCAAGGTATTTGAAAACGTTTTCTGTGACCCAGAGAACACAGGTCTGACCCCATCTGAATCTGTCTACAACTGACAGCAACATCTCTTTTCTCTTCCTTTTTTTCTTGTAACACTTCAATCCAGTGCAGCCAACAGTCACTACATTGAGACTGTACACAAAATTTAGAAAACCATATTTTTATTACACGAATTTACAAATGAAAATATTTTCATCGGAGTGACTTCTTTTGTAATAGCACACAATAACATTCAGAGATCTGCTCCTGGAAGTGGGTACATTTTTCCAAGCTCCTTAGATTTTCTCCTTGTTTTCTCTTTACTTGGCTTAATCCTTTATCTCTCATATCCCCTTCAGGTAACCTTGATTTATAGCATTCACTCCACCCCGGCCAGCCTCTAATTCTCGTGGTTTCTGAAAGTGTCTTTATCAACTATCAGAGTAACAGCATCACCAAATAACAGTTTGTGATTCCGGAAAGTTTCCTATTAAAATTGTGTGATTTACAAAATTGAAAGAGAAAGAATAATCACTTTTGAAAACTGTCAGGATCTCTTCTTCTATGAAAACAGAACTTCTGCATTGGTGGCATGAACCAGTCTGGCAATTGGGCATCTCCCCTCTCCACTGCAAGGGAAGCCAGCGTACAGTTACCAGTCACGAGTTCCTGAGGAAAGCCCTCGAATAAAATCAGCAGCCAAGCGACGACAGCACATAGGTGCTGCTAAAATTCAGGTCTGCTGGTAGAGAGCAAGGAAGTTAAAGAAACAATTGATAGTAACAACTCACATCTATGTCACTTTTTACAAGTTTACAAGTTGTTGTCACACATATCATCACATTTGATTAGCACTACCATGCTGGGAGGTAGGCACACTTTAGCACGCCCATTTTGTAAATGAGGAATTGCAACTTTTTTTTTTTTTTTTTTTTTTTGAGGAGACAGAGTCAGGCTCTACTGCCCGGGCTAGAGTGCCATGGCATCAGCCTAGCTCACAGCAACCTCAAACTCCTGGGCTCAAGCAATCCTCCTGTCTCAGCCTCCCAAGTAACTGGGACTATAGGCATGAGCCACCATGCCCGACCTGGAATTGCAACTCTTTAGAGACATTAAATGATTTATCTCAAGAGTCACAGAGATAGTAGGTGGCACAGACAAGATTTGAACCTTGGTCTGCCTGTCACTAAAGTACCAGCTCCTTCTACAAACAGCACTCATAATGTCACCAAGACTGGATCATCCCCAACCACTTAGGCAAACCATCTCTACATCATCCAAAAGGGAGCAAGGATGAGAGTGAAGATTATGTCAGGGTTAGAAACTCTGACAAAATGGTTAACAGAACCAAGCACCTTTCTAACACCTCTTCCCCCTCGCTCAGCTGTCCTTGTGGGACCATGCACTGTCCTCACATGGACATCAGCAGTCAGAAGCACCTACGCAGACTGAACACCTTGGCAGGGGAGGGGGTCTCAATCTCAAACCCATCATTTCTTTCTCCTTTCATCAAAATGACCTGGATGTGCTACAATCAATTTCAAACTGCCTTAGAAAAAAGCTATTTGAGAAAAACAAATTTACTCAAAAAAATATTACTAATAATTGTGAAGACTCCTGTAGTACTTGCTAAGTGCAAGGCATTGTTCTAAGTTTTTTGATTTTTTTTTTCCTGGTATATTATCTCATTTAATCATCACAATAACCCTGTAAGTTAAGTACAATGGTTAACTCCATTTTACAGAGAAGAAACGTGAAGGATAGAGGAGTTAATAACTTTCCAAAAGTTACACAGCAGCATGGGCAGAGTCAAGATTTGGACCCAGGGAGTCTGGCTGCACAGTCTGGGTGCAGCCCTCTCTGTATAACTACTTCTCCATGCAGCTGTTACCTACAGCAGGTTGTTCTTTGTTCCCAGGGGAATTCCAAGGAAGACAACGCCTTAGCCCGATAGACTGCAGTCTTTTTCTGTCTCGACACACAAGAACACAACTCCTTCCATCAGTAATTACTGGACTGAAACAACATTGATTCTCAACATCTCTACATTGTGTCCTCACTCTCCTTTTGTGAACAATTACTATAACCTGCTTACGTGTGAAAGTAGACAGATATTATGAAAAGAATAAATATTGTACCAGCAACACCTAGGAAGATCAGAGAAAACAGGTGGTTGGGCGATTTGAGGCACAATCATTACGATAAGGCAAGGAAAAGAGTTTGTTAATGGTGTGAACAGTGAAGGAGCGAGGGGAGGGACCCGAAGATATGGCTCTCAGGGCAAGATTTCAGGCTCTGTGGCGGTGAGTGGTCACATCTATTTAAAAATTGTCGTAGGGGTACTTTTCCAGTGTTTCTCAAATACGATGTAAGCCATCTGTTTCTCATATAAAGCAGTCACAGTTAGATCAAGATGGGAACCATAGGGCAGCTAGGCTCTCTGCTTCCTTAACATCTACATAGATATTCTGGACATTTCCTGGGATTCCTCCAGCCCTGTTCTCCAGTGAGTGTAACATTGTCAAAGATAATCAAAGAGATAGTGGTGACCAGACTGTCTCTTCCTCTCTGTCTCCCCCCGTCTCTCTCTTTCTTGCTGTGTGTCCAACTAAGGCCATTGATGGTAGAATGGATCTATTTGAGTGCCGGGATCATTTCCCCTGATGACGCACTGTCACTAGACCACACAGAGACTTCACTAACTATTAAATAATAATAGCACCCAAACCCTAATCTATCATCCATCACAGACAAGTTTGAATCCATTTCCTGCTGGGAATCAGTTTGTTTCCTAAGTGTCCCAAACCACAAGTGACAAAATCTCATATAAATACAGTAATGAGTCAATAG